GCTCTAAAGCGCTCCTAATCGCAGTGTGTGAGTGTGTTGTGACCCCGGGGTTATATTGTGCTCAGCAAAGCCGGTATCTCCACGGGAGACCACTCAATGTTGTGATTTTTTAGATTTAGCCCACGCTGCAACACCTTAGCGGGAGCCGAACCCAGCGGAAAATGTAGCCAGGATACCGGAGGCTTCAAAAAACCCAACCCTGTGTGCCTGATTTTAAGTTTATTCCTTTTTTTTTTAAGTTTATTCCTTTTTTTTTTAAGTTTAGTCCTTTTTTGAGTGCACTTTTCAAGGCATTATCCACAGCATTTTCCTCGCAAGCAGCTGCCCCTTTCTTTGGCATCTGGAGCTGCCGTTCCTTTGGGACGGGGGGCTGGAAACCTTTCCGAAACAATCGAAGTTTGAAAACCAAGCCCAAAGCAGCAGAGTCAGCGAATAACCTTTCTTCTGAAAATTTCAAGCACGTCTTCCGCGACACTTTTCATTTTTCTAGACCTTAACAAAGAGTTTCTACACCTGCTTGGTAAACATAACCCGATGACGGAGTTTAAAAGGCTTTTTTTTTGATTTCTTTTCCCCCCTAGAAGGGGTTATTCTGATAAACGGGATATTTCTCATTTCTTTCCACGAGTGAGGAGCATCCCAGACCACTGTTTGTTGACATAAAGATCTGAAACCGCTCGTCCTTTCGCCGCTGCTATGCTCTGAGTTTGCAGAAGAGCTTTGGAACCATCAAAAGCTTCAGCAGGGGAAAAAAAAAAAAGAAAACTAAAAAAAGTAGAGGCAAACGATGCTTTCTGAAGTCACAGGAGATGACGTGAGTGTTTTAGGGCTGGAGACGCAGAAAAATTATGAGTTTCCCCTATTTATGATTATCTAGATAGTTTACACGACCCGTTTCACAGCAGGTACGTTTTCAGAAAACAATCTCAACGTATTGAAATTTCCTAAGATAAGGAGAAACATTTGTTCAAAACCGTCTACGGTTCCTTTTATCAAAATTTACAGGGGATGTTATAAAACATCCACAGTCCCAAGGCAGAAAAGGGCTTTTTTTTTTTTTAACGCTGTTGCCAAGATCTAATTCCGACGGCAACACAAACCTCCTGACGAGTCTTCTATTGACGGACGAAAAGAATTTAATATTGTTTCATCAAATGAAAACGGAGGCGAGATAAAACACGACGAATTCATCTTCGCCCGCTTTGCCTCTACATATTTCAGATGAAAACGATAAATACGGGATTTTTTTTTTAGACTCTGGCTCATGTGAAAGCAGCTGGTCTCACATACATAAGGTTTGTGACAACAAAAGAAATCTCTCTGGAGGATCTGAAACTGTGATTTTATCCTTCCTTTTATATTCTCGGTTTTTCTACCTTTGCGGATGCGCTCCCATACGCCTTCAGCAGGCACGAGTCAAGAATTCGCTGGCGCGGTTTAGAAAACCACCAGCAAAAACTCAACTTTCCACCCGTTTTTTGCTTTTTCTTCTCCGTTTTCAGACCGAACCGAACTCGACAATTTTTTTCCCCGGCGACACCTTCGTGCGGAAGCCTCTCCTCGGTTTTCCAAACCCGACCGAAAACGCCTTCAATGCTGATTGGAAAAAAATAAGACGGACGATCTCCTTCCAGGTCTTTTTATAACTCGGCACTTTCACCCTTTAAAATTTGTTTTTATCTATTCGAACCCGACGTTTTTCATTTGTAAAAACAGGCCCGTCGAGCAAAAATGGTTTTTAATCTTACGATTTGGACGCTTCTACTTCTTTCAGCAAACCGTACGCTGAAACCAAAGGGGGAATTCCCAAAACTGGCTGAGAGAGGGTGTCTCCAAAGCGCTACTTTGGGGTGAGACCGTACGTGTCACCCGGTACAAAATCAAATCTGAGTGGAGAAATACGCCTTGGGGATACTTCCAGGGGGAAGTAAAACCTGTGAAAGGGTCTAGACTTGAGTTTCGTCTTCTAAATAATTCGTTTTCCCTAAGGAAGACAACCTGCAAGAGCTCAGCTCGGTAAATTGGGGTAATTTGAGGGGTAAATTGGGGTAAAATGTGAAGTCAAGCCAGGGATTTACACCTCACTTGACCTTTTTCAACTAGTTGGAACCCAAATAAACCTCCTTGAGCTTTCCAACGTCACCCGGACCGTTCCCTTGGGCAGATGTCACAGAAATACCCGATGCTCCAGTTGGAACTGAAAGAAATACTTAGGACTAAATAAGTAAAAAAAAAAAATAATTAAAAATCCTAGCAACAGACTGGAGCCAGGAGCAGCGGAACTGTGACTCATCAGCCTATTTGGAAAATGTAATGATAATGCCTTGAAAAGTTGACTAAACTTTGCCATTATTCGACTCGGAAAGAAGAAATGATGATTTCTCCCAGCGAGGCTTTCTGAACTTTAAACCCTAACTCACGAAAGGTCGCGAGAGGAGCCCTGAAATTAAGCCGAGCTTAATTGCACTTAACGCGAATTACTCCGGCGAAGCTCCAAATTTATTCCGCGCCGAGAAACTGTGACGGTTTAATTGGCCCTTCAGAAGAAGAGACGAAACAACTGCCTCTCCCGAAACCTCCCAGCCTCCCCCACGTCAAAGCGGCGGCCTCAGCCCGGCAGAACTTGATTAACGAAGGGAATTAGCGCGCCCGCCTCGTTAGGACACGACGAAGAGCGAGGGCGCCTTACCTTGGTCGTTGGCCATTTTGTCGGGGTGCTCGACTGCAAGAAAGAAGAGAGACGACGTCAGCACAGGCTGAACCCCGCGGGTATTTTCACCCCGAGTTCTTCCATTTTTTTCGCCACTCTCTCCTCCTTTCTCGCTTTTAATTAAGTTTAATCAAGCCGGAAAGTAAAGACAGACGCCGCTTCTTTAAATAATTCCATCACCCACGAGCTGAAAGGTGGGTCTGACTTGTGTGCTCGTTGTTTCAACTTTTTTTTACAAAGGGGTTTCAACGTATTTACGTGGTTTTTGCGTCACACCCATCAAAGGGTGCCAGACGAGACTTGGCAATTGGAGAGACGTCTTAAAACCCTTCCCGCACGGCTACGGCTTCTGTTTCGGAATTAAACCTTGCTCCGACTCCTAAGTAGCTGCCATCAGAGAGCATTAATGAGCCCTCTGCTTCAGAAATTATGCCAGAATCTTAAGTACAGGAAACGCAGGGGAGGGGGGAAATAAATAAATGATTTGGCACATGAATCTGGAAGGCAAATCACCGGCGCCTGCAGGTGCAGAGCACATCACTCTTAAAAATCCTGAATAAACACCCTCTCGATCGGGGTAGAACAAAGGGAAATAGTTGAACCAGCAAGAACTTGCATTTATGGAGACATCGAAGAGCGATTCTGGCGACGCCCAAACCCTCCGCTAAATTTTTTCACCCCCTCGCGCGACTTTTTCACGCGGGCGAAGAGGAGCAGAGAGGCTGTGCGGAAGGTTATCACCTCCAACGTTCCAAAAATCCAGGATTCTGCACTTCTTCGCCGGGATATCACCTTTCCCTCGGGGCCAATATTCCGCCCGGTGCCAGGTCTGAATATTCCGGTGCAGGTTCTGAACTGGGACGGACTGGTTTTGAACTGGGCTGAGGCACTGAACCATCGAGGCAGCATTAGAGGGCACTGCAGGGCTGGGAATGTTGCCCCACATCACCCCTCTCAAAAAGGAGTGGGGGGAACTGCATCATCTGTGATTTTAGGGCTTTTTAAAGCAACTTTTAATGTGGAAAAGCCCGTGAATAGTTCTCCCTGCTGATCTTAGCGCGATGGGAATAACTGGGAGGGTAGGAAAGCTCAGCCCGTGGCCTCTTCTTCCTCCTCTCCCACTCTTCTCTTTCAAATCACAACTGCTCCAGGGGTTTTGTTGAATAAAATGCTTCTTCATGCATTAACAGGCAACTCTGGTCTCAGTTTTTAAAGCGTTTCGCACCATTCTGACGAGCGGAATGCCACGTTTTTCTTTAATTAAAGGAGCTCAAGGAAGGTCTGTTCGGAAATCTGGATTAGGTAAGGCTGAGCAGAAGAAAGCACAAGCATTTAGTAAGTGCAGACGGAAAAACCAAAATTGCCGTCAAGTTATTCGAAAGCTGGAGGAAATCCTCCTCTTTTTTCGCCTGTCACCGCTTCCTTCGTTCGCTTTTTCGCTGTCACATTTCAACAGGCAGCTCTGAGGAAATTCCTGTGCGACTTCGGGAATTTCTCCAAATGCATAAAAGCGACGTAGAGCTGGAATTTAAGGGCACGTGCTGCGCAAGGCTGCAAAATGCACGTACTGCTTGGGCTTTCTCTTCCATAAACACATATATATGTAAAAAGAATATTGACCAAAGTCTTCCAGACTCGCCAAGGAGGAAGAAAAATCCTCGTAACGACCTCAAATTTTGGCCAAATTACCTACCAGATAAAAGGTGGGAGGTTCGACCCCATTTTATCCTTTGATTCCAGGCCTGTATCGGATTCTTCACGCTTTTCTGCCATAAATTTAACCAGTCGGAGCGTAAAAAAAAGCAGATCCTGTCGTAGCCTGATTGAAGCTCACAGCGTCACGACAATTTCCACGCGCATCTTCTGCTAATAATCATCGAGGGCATTTTTTTTTGCATAATTCAGACGTCAGGAAGTCTTTTTACCTCGAGTGCGGGGCTCGATTTGTCCAAAAAAAGGGTTGAATAGTATCGAACGTGACATATTTAGGGTGGCTCTCATTAAATATTCAGGGCAGGCTATGAGCCACAGTCCTTGTAGGCGATTTCAAGATGCAACAAATGCAGAAATTCACCTTTTCGGTATCTGTTGGTGCTGTCTGATCCAGACTTCAGTTCCCAAATGAGTTTCGTGGTACTTTTGGGTAAAAATTACGAAGGAGGTGCCATCAGGAGCATTAATCTTTGGGTTTACTTCGGTTTGAGCCTGAATTTCTCTCATTTCCCTCCCATCCAGCCCAGCCCACGTCCAATTTTCCACTACCCTCTGCCAACATGTTTCTTCTACGTATTTTTTACGTATAAATCGCCAGGGGAGGCAAGGCTCTCTCGTACGCCACGGAGCAGTTTCGCCGTTTATGTCATTGGAGTTGGTTGGGGTTTTTTTTTCTTCATTAATTACACGTTTTTTTGAGGAAGCAATTTCAAACCTTTGTGCAAAGGAATGAGTGACAGGTAAAACAGAAAGGCGAGCACCCCGCTTCCCACTCGCGGCGATACTAGTACCTAGTAATTTCTGGGGAGATTATGTCAGGGCTTCACGCAGGCAAGAGAGAAGAGAAATAACTCTCCGCATTAATTTGAAATCAAGTCTGATACGAGAGTGGTTTCCTATCAAATCAGGGCCGAAATCCCAGCCCCTCTCCAAAAAAAATCCGCGCTCCTGTTTTGCCTGCTCCTTCCCCCCCGGTCACGAAAGGAGGGAGCAGGTATTAATTAATCTGGTGTTAATAACAGGTTGTGGAAAAATAGCCGCGACAACTTAGCCCACGCAAAGGCTCGCTGGGATTTGAAATGGGAATTTTGCACGCCCACTCCGTCGCCAGGAGCGAGGCGTGACAGGTTCCTACGGTCCCCCAGAGGATCCCAAACGAGAAGGGACCTCCCTAGAGAAACCCAGTCGAATCCAATTAGTTTTATTATCGATGGCAGAAAACGAGGCGGTGTCAGAGCGGCCTGAATTTAAAAACGCTGCCTCGTTACATGGTTTACTCGTAGCAACCACCACGGCTGGCATTTTGCTTTTATCTCCCCACAACCACTTCAAGTGGCAAAGTCGGGGCCAACACAGAATTAACCTTCCTTCAAATGAAGAATTAAAAAGTTTGGCGACGATCCAAACCTTTCAGCGTGCGGAAGAAAATGGGATCGGAGAGGGGGCCCACTCCTTTGGCGTTGCGAGCTTGGATTCGGAAGTAATAAACGGTGTCGAGGTTGAGGTCCACGATCTGGTGGGTGAGCCGGTCGCCGCTGATCGACTCCATGATCCAGTCGTCGATGGGCGCGTTCTTGTCCAAAGTGTAGAAGAGGATGTAAGCTGGAGGCAAAAAATCAAACACAGCCGTGCGGTTAGTGCTTCAACTCCCGCGCCAAAATACAGACGAGGTTGAGATTTCTTCGAAATCGGGGGTTTCAAAAGCACGGCCGGCGGGTCTCCGATGGAAAGAGCTTAGAGGAACGCAAGGAAAACACACGTTTGCCTATTTTTAGAACCAAACCTGTGGAGTCGTTTCTGCCTTGCTGCAAGAACCGTCGATTTAAGGAATGTAAAACCCGGTAGCGCGTTAAAAGGCTGTTAAAAGCGCATTTCTCAGATTCAGGTGCGCCATTCGGGCTGAGAGCTGCCATAAAGCACGCGGGCTTTAGCATTTCAGCGCTGAAATAAAACTAAACGGTGTTAATGAAACCCATCAATTACCGCGTGCTTATGGGAAGCCAGGAAATATTTCCGGGCGGCTACAGGGGAAAGAATGAAGGATTAAAAATGTCGGTAACTCTGAATTTTGGTGACTTAAAGAGTTCTACAACAGCTACGTGCCACAGAATAGAACTTGAAAATTTTAGAACTCGAAGAGTAGAAGTACTTTTAGGGAATGATAATAATTTATAAGGATGACCTCGTCATTAAATGAAATTTTGGGAAATAAAAAAAAAGCCCACAAGCAAGGCTGAGAGGTCGAGCGTATCGTGCAACACCAGTCTCTGCCTAGCGTTGAAAATACCTTCTCTTTTTTTTTTGCTACCTGGTAAATTAGTCGTATACAAAAAAAATTCCACTCTAAGTCTGGTCCACCAGAAATCATTCCATGCGAAGGGTCGCACGGGTCACCAAGAGCGGTGTTAGGATGGAAACGATGTATTTTTTTCTGTGTGTGGTGGTTTTTGCTTTGATTTTTTTTTTTGATATGACAGGATTTTATTTCCAGGCTCGTAGTTCGGGGTTACTAAAGCAGTTTTTGAAGATGAGCAAAATTCCTCCTAAGAGCTACACGCCTCTATTAACAGCCTGAAACGATCATTTAAATGCAAACTCCGCTCTATTTTTCTAACTAAAATAACACTGAAGGTTTGTAATGGATTTCTTAATGAGGCACTAAGGTTATACGTGGTATTTTGGAAAATAAAATCTGTCATCGTGAAACATCCATTAAGTTAAATTCTTGTCAGTCACCGTTAGGATTTTTTGGTGGTGATTTTTTTTCCCCTCTTGATCATCATTGCCTTAAATTGTTATTGTAAAGTTAAATATCTCCCAATAAATTCTCCCACGATGTGCTGCACCGAGCAACCTATCATTATGTGTATTATGTATCCCATTATTGCCAAACAAAATACTTGGTATTAGTCATTTCTAATTATCACGGAGCAGCACGTACCACAAAACCTTCACTTTCAGGGCGGCGTTTTTTAACTCGGATTACAGCTCTTAGCATTGAAAAAGAAAAGATGCACATCCCTCGAGGTCCAAGACCTTGCAGCATCCCCAACGCTGCCTTGAATCTCGGCCGATCAAAGTAAGAGAAAATAAAATACCGTCGGCTCAAAGAGCATCCGAGAGAAAAACATGACGGAGATAGGGAGCGAAAGCTGCGAATGATCAGAGGAGTAAATAAATGGAGAAAACAGGATAATTTAAATACTTACCAGTGATTTTTCCATTGGCTTCCAAGGGCGGCTGCCAGCTGACGACGACAGCCCGGGGCTTCCCTTCCCGCGTAATCACTGTCAAATCCTTGGGAGCAGAAGTTGGAGCTGAAAACAACGGGAAAGAAGCAAAACCAGGAGTTAAAAGTCATCTTCTTCTGAATTCTTTAAAAACAAACTACTCGGGCGACACTTAGATCCTCCCAAACGCGAGTGTCCTTAGATGAATTTTCAAACCTAGGATTTGTCTCAAAGTGGTATTTTCCTAGCGGCAACTGCCCAAAACCACGGCGCGGGGATACGCTGGGATACAGCGGACAGCACTTCTCCTCCTCCCATTAATATAAGTTAAAAGCCACCGGGAACATCTAACAGACTTTGGGAGCCCTACGTATTTAATAACAGTAATAATATCGTGGCTTCTCTAGCAGGAACCCAGCGCAAAACAAATCTGAATATTTTAAAACCGCGGAGGAGAAAGGAAAAAGAGGTAATTATTAAAAAATAGTGAAAATTGAGGAGATAAACACCGGTGCTGAGCTCGTCGGTTGTTCACTTAGGCTGTCTCGTCGGTTTAAAACCAGCGTACTAGAAGAAACTTGCAGGAGACAACCCTTTTCATAACTGAATTGCACTCGATTTTCAAAGGCAAAATCGCCCTTCCCTTTACTTTTGCCGAGCCTACCCTGTCATATTTCCCAGCTTCACATAAACGATTCAATTCTACTCAAGTGCAGCCACCTCCCGGTATGTAAAGAGCATCTTTATCTTAAAAGCTCTTTTCCATTCTCTGATATTATCCCTCTCGACATGTTTTTGTGCCCTAACCCTTTTCCCTTCCCCCTCTTTCTGCCTTTTGTGAGGTTCAACCAGCAAAGCCTGTAAGCCTGGAAATCTAAGGACACGGATATTTCATGAAACTCTTTTTTTTTTTTCCCATTTGTCAATGGAACTTCGGTTATCTGCTGGTAGAAATCAGGTTGCAATGGCACCGAGTGCATTCAAGACCGCCAGTCATCCTCAGAAAAATACAGCATGGACTGCACTGGGGTCCAAATGTATGAAGAAAAATATCTTTAAGCAAAACAACAGACGTTTTTACCTCTGGACAAGATAAAAACTAGATGGAAAAACTAGTGGTTCGGCAATATAAAGCCGTGTGCAATTCAGCGGAGTGATTTAAAAGCAAATTGACTCCGGAGTCGCAAAAGAGCCTCTGGACAAGATAAAAACTAGATGGAAAAACTAGTGGTTCGGCAATATAAAGCCGTGTGCAATTCAGCAGTGATTTAAAAGCAAATCGACTCCGGAGTTGCAAAAGAGGAGCTCAACAGCTCGTTCTAAGAGAACACAGGGTTAGAAAACTGCGCCTTTATTTATTATAAAGTTTTTTCAACTAAATGGATAACTTAGGAAGTCACGAATTTGAGACAAAGCCACACAGAACTTCCCAAGCCACAATTCTGCAGTAGCAAAACCTTTATATAATAGTAAGTGAATATTTGTTCTCACCCAATTTTGGCTTTCTTTGAAAAGTGGATATTATTTTAAATCACTAGCAATAAAAATCATGGATATTCATTATATTCCACGCACATACCACTCCCTCCTAACTTCTCGTGACAATGACGACCTGCTCTGCTCCCCGTGGAGAAAACAAGAAGGAATACAGTTAATTTTGTCCGTACGCTGTCAGTTTACGCAGTTAGGATGAAGCTTTTTCTGACAAATCAACCAAGGAGTAACTTTGTGGCCGATTCTTACCCGCTTCGTAGGTGGTGGCGTGGGCGGTCATGCTCCACGTGCTGGACCGTCGGCCCTTGGTCACCATGACGGAGAACTCGTACATGGTGTTTGGCTTCAGCCCCATCACCGTGTGGCTCAGCGCCGTCGTATCTGCCGACTACACAGCGAAAGAAATCTTTTTAATACCTCCTGATTTTTTGGAGGAGGCTCCGAAAGCGTTTTTACCCCCGAGAGCGCTCCCCGCTTCCTGGGGTTAACATATATTTACGACCGAGATGGAAACGCGACGCAGGAGCTCTGCAACGAAGATGCGTTTTGGCGTTGGCAAACCACGCTTTCTGCTGGGCGGAACGTAATGTGTTTCTACATCAGGTTACATCCGAAGCGTGTTATTGATCCGCCGCCTCGCTGTGCCACGTTAGGAACAACTAAACATATTGATGTTGGTGTGAATATTAAGTCGTTCGTTTGTTTTTAAGGTGATTGAGGCCTGCGCTGCGGCCTGAGGGTGGAAACAACTGAAGTAAAAAAAAAAAAAGGCAGTAAAAAGCAGTAAAAAAAAGCAAAAAGAAAATTATCGGGCAAATTGGCGATGACTGAATAAAAACCATCCTCTCCCAACTTATCTGCGCTAGAGGTTTACCCCGGCAGAGCATCTGTAAAATTTTAAGGTGGTTAAGGCCTGCGCTGAGGCCTGCAGGTAGAAACAACTGGAGGCCAAGCAGCAAAAAAAAGCGAAAAGAAAATTATCAGGCAAACTGGTGACGACTGAATAAAATCCATTCTCAACCAACTTATCTGCACTAGAGGTTTACCCCGGCAGAGCACCTGTAAAAATTTTAAGGTGACTGAGGCCTGCGCTGCGGCCTGAGGGTGGAAACAACTGGAGGCCAAGCACCAAAAAAGCAAAAAGAAAGTTATCAGGCAAATTGGCGACGACTGAATAAAAACCATCCTCACGCAACTTATCTGCACTAGAGGTTTACCCCGGCAGAGCACCTGTAAAAATTTTAAGGTGACTGAGGCCTGCGCTGCGGCCTGAGGGTGGAAACAACTGGAGGCCAAGCAGCAAAAAAAACTGAAAAGAAAATTATCAGGTAAATTGGCGACAACTGAATAAAATCCATCCTCACGCAACTTATCTGCACTAGAGGTTCACCCCTGCAGAGCATCTGTAAAGATTTTAAGGTATTTGAGGCCTGCGCCGCGGCCTGTGGGTGGAAACAACTGGAGGCCAAGCGCACCGGCAGCAAAGAAAAGTAAAAATTATCAGGAAAACTGGCGACAATTGAATAAAATCCAGCCCCAGGCAACTTATCTCCAGTAGAGGTTTACCCTGGCAGAGCGCCTCCCTCTGTAAAAATTCATAATGAAGCAAGGACATCACTCCTAACCTGTTGTTCAAACCCTACTCAACCACTTGCCAGAGCTGGCATAAATGTAGAGCTTATACAAATTATTCTTTGACTAAGGCTGGATTTCAATACAGGGAATAATAATTTTCTCCCCCGGCAAAGACATCTGAAGAAATGAAATGATTTCTGCCAAAAAATATTCCTCAGTGCGACTGAGGGTAACTAAATCTGGTGAAGTGCTCAGATATCGCACACAATTAGGAAAAATTCAAGTGGAAAAAGCTCTAAGGGCTGAACCTATCCTTGGACAAAACAGCCTGTGGTGGAACATAAAGACATCGGGTTCTCTTTTGCAGAAAGAAAGTTATTTGTCTCCAGCTGAGCGTTTCTCTTTGGGCGGTTCGCTCAATACTAAATATTAGCATTTCACTACTCCAAGCGTCCTTGAAGTTAATGTCACGTGGAGATGAAGGGGACGCGACTGTGTCACGTACCTCTAGTACTGGCACATGGCGCCCGTTTGGGACGATTTGCGTGAAGCTGGTGGGGCAAAATTACCTTTATCAACTCCCAACCGCATCGGGAAAGGCTAAACCTTTCATTATACTCCAGCGGACAGGCGGTTTCGAAGCAACGGGAGTCATCAAGGGGAAAAATCTCCAAAGATTTGGGAATTCCACGCCATCCTCTGGCGTCTGGAAAGGCCAACCTATATCCAGAGACATCCCTCAGGCTCTACACAGAGGAGCCTCCACGCTGGAGAAAGCATGGCCTTAGAAAACTGACTTTTTTAGGACAGAGAACAGCAAAAAATGAGTTTTCTCAGAAGCTAATCTTCGTTTTTTCCCCTTTGGGAATGCGTAATATGGGTGGGTGGAATTGCCACACAGCATGGGTGGGTCTGTAATCATTATTTCTACGCTATCGTGCTACCAAATCCGCGACTGATTTATACCCGATTGGTAAAGATTAAAGATCAAAACGGAATTACAGCAATGGGCGCGTGGAATTCGAACATTTTCATCCAACACAACACCTAGGTTTCTAGGAAGCAACAGCTACGAAAACAAGTGCCTGAAACAGAAATTTGGGTCAAGGCAAGCTCGCAAAAAGCCAAGTCGAAGGCCCTGCAAACAAACCACGGACGGAACGGCTCGGAAATCCGGTTCGAAATTTCACCTTGTACTTAGCACTCGTCGAATAGCTCGTTCTCCATCGGACTGTGTAGAAGCGAACCTCCGCAGTCTTTTGGTTTTTTGGGACAGAGTTGTCTGCCCAGATGACCCTCACCGCGTCGTGCGTAAGTGCGACAGCCTGGACACCTACTGGTGGGAGCATGGGGGTGGAGATATCTGGGACTGAGGTAGGGAAATCATCAAGCAAAGGATAAAAATCAACTTCTAATGGATCAATGGGGTCTGGGTCCATACATCACCCAATGAGCATTCCAAAAGAAACGAACAGGTACGTTAAAACAGAAAAAAACCAAAAGAAAACAAAGCAAACCGAAACACAAACAGCCACCAAGGGGCACACAGCACGATGGGTTAAATGCATGGCATTAATGAGGAGGAGGAACATGAGGAGAACAGAAAGAAAGGCATTAATGCAAAATGAGACGGCAGCGGCGACATTTCAAGTTACATCACTACAACAGAAACCACCCGGCTCTTATTTTTCACCGTTCCAGGTGTGCTCGGTTTCCTTCGCACGAGACAAACCCAGCACACATCGTCTCTCCTTAAAACGATTTACTTTCTCTTAAAGAAACCAAATTGCTCCCATGACACGCTATCGGAAACGCCTCCAAAGCAGAGAGTGTGTCGTCTTCCAACCTAATCCACGTGCCCTCACACGTAGGAGTAACCTACTCTTTTCTCTCTGGACAGCCTCTTTCGCTGGTTTAGGATCTTGAATGCAACAGATTCTGCATCTGCTTCAACATTTGTTGGGCAAAACAACCTGAAAAACTTCACTGCTGAAGCGAAAGTTGACAGCCTCTTTCGCTGGTTTAGGATCTTGAACGGAACAGATTCTGCATCTGCTTCAACATTCGTTGGGCGAAACAACCTGAACAACTTCACTGCTGAAGCGAAAGTCTTGGAGTTGTTGGTTTAATACCGTCAACGTGTTAAATGTGTAGCAGACGTGGAGTATTTTCAAGTGGGCTTCTTCCTCCAGGACCAAGAACTACGAGGCGGTCTTCGGGGAGCAACGCCACGGCAAGGGGCTATGCAACTCCGGAGGAAAATTCCGGCTGGCTTAATTATCGAGACCTTTCCAACGGCCGGTTACCTGAGGCTGTCGAGGTTGCCCCCCTTTTCCTTCCACTCTGTTGCAGAGGTTTCTCCTCTGAGATGTTGGGTCAGTAGCAGATTGCTGCTCTTACAGGGAAGAAAAAAACCACCAGCAACCACCCGGGCACAGAATTCCTCTTCTGACCCGCGTTCGCTTTGATGACATTCCCGCTCTCGGCTTCTCCGGGGTGACGGCACCCACCTGGGAACCGGGGGCCGTTTCGACTCGGTTTAAATACCTCTGTCCTTCTTGAGGCACCCAGTCAACCCCTGCTCAAACTACACTTACCGACTCCTTCTTTACTAACTGACTCGTTAGTTACCACGCTGACTGACTCGTTTGCCAGCGGCGATTCTTCTCCGCGTCGTTTCAAAATGCAGCAGGTAAAGCGCAGCAGAAGCACGCCAGAAAGCTGCTTCGGGGCTTTTTCCCCCCTCCTAAAATAATGTGGCAATTAATTAATCAAAGCATAAACGACTCTATTATTTCCTCCCTGCTACAGCGTCTGTCTGCTTCCCCTGCAGCTCCAGCTGCTGACACTCTTTGATCGCTCCCGTCGCACCTTTTCTTGTAATTCTGATTCAGGACTCGGGGAGGGCACAGCCTGCGGGTGGAAAACCGGAGGAGACGCGGATGTTTAAAACGTGTGACGAGCCATCAGCTTTCCCCTTCTTCCCGGGGAGGAACAGGGCAGTTGCATCATTTTTTTCTCACTCCAACCAAGCAACTCAAGCTCCAGAGAGAAGCGAACAGTTTTTATTTCCTGAAGTTTTCCAAAAGAATTGGCTGTAAACTTTGCAAGGTGAGCGACAACCCTCTTTCTGTTGGGTTTTTCTACAAACTTACGTCGGAAGCCGAGGCGTTATTTTAGCAAATCCTGCACTTCCTTGCCCAGACTGCAAACTCAAGTCCTGCTGCAGAGGATTCCGACGCGAGGCTGCGTTTAGCAAAATAAATGGTCCATCAATCAAGGGAATTCAGTTTCTGAAACATGTCATCACCAACCTGAGGAAGAAGGAACTCTCAATAATCCACCTGTGGCTGACAACAGGTCCTTAAATACTCCCTCTGTTTGTTTTGGGGGGTGTTTTTCCATTTTCTATTACTTACGCGCAGACATCTGTCCTTCTCTTGTCAGGAAACAGTTCCTCGCTCTCTTCGGAGTTTTTCCGCCAATATTTCCCGTTATATAACTCCAGTTTGTTCATTGTAACCACACAAGCAGACACCGATATCGTTTCGGTTCCGAGAGCTTACATACAGTCACAAAATCAAATCCCCCAGGCCAGTTGAGATAATTTTTAAATAGAATCGACAGGGAACCAAAAGAAAAATGAAAAAGTATATATGGATCCTGAGGCAAACTCACCGGGTAAGATTTTACAACACAAGAGTGACTCCACATGAGAAGAAAGATCAATAATTTTGAGCCACAAGTTCCCTAGAACTTATTCTATCTCACGTAGCTTGTTACGGTCGCCCCAGATTGTGTAAATCTTTTTTTTTTTTTTTTTAAATTCTCCTTACTTTCCAAGATTTCTTATGGGAATACTTCACAAAACCACATGGAAAACCAAAAAAAGCTATTTCTTTTTTTTTCCCTTGGCGAGCCACAGAAGCGCCATTTGGTTGAGTTATTCCTCGCGGTCCACCCACGCCAGCGTCAGCGATCGGGTTTGCTCTCAGTGACACAGCTCCCCTTGCAGGCAGCTCTGAACACCGTGGGTGAAACGCGAGAAAAAAACCAGCCCCAAATGATGGTGTCCCTCCAGAGGAAAAGCATATTTTTGTATTTTTTAATTCTTTTTTATTTTATTTTGTCTCAGTTTTGTTCTTTGTCCGTCCCACTCGCTCACCGGTGACGGCAGAAAAAACCACGGGGCGGTCCGGAAGACTAACTACACGAGAATAATTTGCATTTTAGCAACTTTGCGAGCGTCCCAACACCGCAGCTGTGAAAACGAGTTGCCTAAAAGCACCCTGGCTCCGTTTCTGCTGGCTAATTTCTTCCGTGAGCCTTATCTCCCGCCAAGAAAATCCTTCACCTTCTGCAACTCATCTACCCGCTTTTGGAGGCGTGCGTGGTTTTAGCTAATTCATTTTAATTCAGGCTGCTTTAAGAAAAAAATAAAATAATTTCATCTGGGCTTAATTCAGCAAAGCGATTCGGCGCCGCTGGGCCCCGATCTTTAAATATTTAAATTGTTTGGGAGTCCTGCTTCTCCCAAAGCCAACCGGGAGCGAAGAGCAAGCGCCCCGTTCGATTCACGCAGCCAATTTCTGCGGAGGGTAAATAATTCATTCGAGCTGTGGAGTTCCCAATAAAAGGAAAAATTAAGCTGATTTACTCTGGTGGTTGCAGAGCAAACTCGACCGGGATGTTTTGCCCGGCGTGGAGCTCAGCGAGGTGGATTTGGAACTGGGATTTTTTGGCTCTCACCTGTCATGGAGCGGGTGGTCGCGCTCTCATACAGGGGCACCCCCTCGCCCGCGTTGTTGAACGCCTTCAGGGAAATCACGTAGTGGGAGCTCGGCTCTGCAGGACAAAACAGAAAAGGAAAAAGAAAGCACATTCCGGTAAAAAATTAGGGAGGCGGGACAGATGAGCACTTGCCTGAACGAGAAATAAAAACAAGAAAACAGAGTTAAGGGAACGCTCATGCAACGTGAGGAGCAAAATGCATTTTCCGTCTTATTTATCTCAATCTCCTGGTGCCGCCTTTACCATGAGCGACCTGAAATCCTCCGTTAAATTCCTTTTGCGCCGGTTTAATTTTATTCGTGCGCAAGAAAAATCGTACGGCTGAACAGCCCGGGCTGCCCGAACCGGGAAACGGCCTCTTCCAAGTCCTTCGCTGAAAAAATAACAAATATTTGTACGTGAGGAGGCATCTATTAAGGTGACATGGCAGCAGAATTATAGATTTCATCTACGTTACCACCACAGCAGCTCAGCGTGATTAATGTGATTACAGTGAATCTGCAAGGAGTAAATAATCTTTAAATACTCTCTATTGTCACTAATCTCCTTCCCACCCCCTTATTTTGTGCTTTGTTTTACACCCAGAAGTAACTCGCTTACTATTCGGGCTTCCGCGGCGGAAGAGCTCCACTTTCAAAATCGCCACACTAACGCCGAGCGCGTTAATAACTCCCTGCGCACGCTTATTAATTCCGTTGGTACTCACCCTAATATCATTAGGCAGGAGGAAATTATTTTGTATTGAGATGTAAGTATATATTTCCATATGATTTCCATTCTGTATGAGCACGCGACTTTTCATTTCCCACTTAAGCCAGGGCTGCAATTTGGATTCCACGCCAAGATTTATTTATTGAGCCTCAATAAACCGTCACGTCCGGAAGTTTCTGCAGAAGAAGCAGCGACTTGCGCGCGCACGACGCGGATTTAACCGTGAGAGATGACTCGAGACGCCCGATTCTACAAATCCCCCTCAAAACCCCCACCGAACTGTCAGGTCTAATCAAAATAACGTCGGGAAGTCCCGCTAATGACTAAGCGAAATGAGTGATTTGCTGCTAATTTGCTCGTGAAAAATGCCCTCGTGGAAATTTGATAAATTAGGTGAGGAAAATGGGATAAGTTCAGGGGGAAATTTAAAACCGGAGACCAGTCAGCACATCCTTCATCACGATATATAGCCCATCGGGTTTTATAAATCGAACGGCCCGACGCGTGATCGATGTTCAGAACCAGCTTGGCGAAGGTTACATTTGCAAAAACGAGCCGAGGGTGAGGATCTGCGGCTTTCTGTTCCAACCATGAAAAATGCAGGTGGTTAATTCGAGCTAACTGAAGCCATAAAGAATTGCTTGAGTGTCCTCTTGGAGAAGAGGGGGAAAAGGCAATTTCCCACAAAACGTTTGAAGACAGTCTTAAGAGTTAAGCCAAATATATCAATTCTGAATTTTTCTCCACCCCAACCCTAGGATGATGATGTTACTGTTTTTATTTGCTATTCTGGAGCAGGAGAAGGAGGGAATTATGTTTTTTCCCTGTCTGAAGAGATCACTTCTTGCCTTTGGAGAAGCCGAGCAAAGAATTCCGTTTTAATTAGAGCATCAGCCCCGAATGCCACACGTTGGTGCCGAACACGCTCTGGACATCAAGCCGTGCTCCGCGGTTCAATTTTTTTTAAAAAAAAAAAAGACGAGAAGTTCAAATTAAACATGAACAAAATTGATCAGACAATGAGGCAGCTGCAGATCCAGGACCCTTCTTTCTTCTTTTCCTC